TCGATTGAAAGAACAAAAAAATGAGTTCTGAGATATTGGATATAGTTTAAGAGTTTGGTTGAACATGGAAATAACGGAATTAGCCACGAAAATACATTTGGGCTCAATCGTGGGAGAAATTGCCGAATTTTTAATTATCGACGAAGAGTTCGCTAACGCTAACTTCGCGTGAGCGTATAATTCCATCAGTTTTCCATCATTTTTCGTTTTTTTTTTGGTACTTTTGTCTTAAATCGGGAAAAGATTCTTTTCTTTTCCTTCTAAGAATAAATAATTTTTTTTTTGTCGAATATTTTGCGGAACCTGAAAGAAACTTCAGGATTTGGCCCTTCGAAGTCTCATATAAGGGTTAAAGACCATTCTATTGTAAGCTTCTTGCCACTCAGTTACTTGTATATTTAAGTTCAGCCATTCGTAAGGCACTCGGCTTGCAAATGCAACTGCAATGTACTTGGCCATCTGTCTTATGAGCTAGTATATGGCACCTACTGCCAATTGAACTAGCATTAGTTGTCAGATCTAGGGGATTAGAAAAACTGGAAATTTCAAATTTGGAGCAAGATTGTTAGCTTTTTCTTTGAAAGTTTGCGATTTGCTCTTTCTTGAAGGAAGGTCCAAAACAAAAGGAGCATCTTTCTTTCTTAAGAAACTAGATTAGAGGAAGCAGCTTTATGGAAGAAAATTTGGGCAATGATAGATATTTAAAAACCTGAATAGGAACACAAAGGATCTCACAATACTGCTATCAGCAGGTAGTTTTGGGTGGTTGGAAATATTTAGTACTGAGTTTCTTTAACTTTGGTCAGTAAAATAATCCCCTACTAGGAGTGGACTTTTGTGCACCAAGAAACCTTAATTTCTGTTCTGAAAAATTGAACATTTAGGAATGAAAAATGGAACATTTAGACAGTTGATTTCTTTTTTAATTTGGCTTCTTCAGATATATAGTACTACTTCAAGTCTTTTCAGTGTGTTTCCAGTCTTTAGACCATGACGATTACAATCATCAAGTACTCCATAGGCTGAATTACACTTGAGACCTCTAAAGATATTTTGTCATTGAGCCTTGAGAACGTGATAGGGAGGATTGTAATCCAATCGCCATAATGAGGAAGTGATAATGGTCCTGTAGGTGGTGGAGTAGATTGCAGTTAGTCTTGGCTGTCCTCATGAAGAGGGTCTCTTGCCAAAAACATTTGTAAACAAATCCAGGGTTTGGAAAAGACTTTGTTATCTCCGATGTTAAGTAAAAGATCACCTGTAATGGGAGTGGATAAGCGATATGGAATTGTGTTTACGCAATTTAACTTCATAAAGTCAATCTTGGGCGCCATAGTACCATCTTTCTTAGGTACTAGGATCAAGGCGAGATTCCAAGGTCGAATCTGCTAAGGTGCAATAAACATCCATCATCAAGCATTTGATTTGATCAATTTCCTTCTGACGACAGCTTAACTTGTGAATGTGGATTCTGTAAGCAGAATGTATATAGATTGGTCTACTGTACCCAGGTTAAAGTGGAATAAGATGGGACATTAAGCTTTTTTTTAGTCTTTCAAACCATTCTTCTAACTGGTAAGTTAAGGCATTGGCCTGTTTCGTCGTTTGTTCATTCAGAGTATGTCATAACAAACGCCTTGACTTCAATTGGGATGTAGTGGGAGATATGGTCTTTATACTCAACTGTGGAACTGTTGTGATCCAGTGAAGTGGATGAGGTCCTACCTGGGTAAGGGAAATTAGAAATTAGCACCGACCCTATCGGTAAGGTGCAAATCTCCTATAACTGAAATGGGTTAAGGATAGTGAAAACAAGGTCAACAAGTTTGGTATTGGATCTGAGACGAACACTTTGTGACCAGAAAGTGTTAGATAGGAAGAAATGGATCTTACTATCTCTTTTTACAAAAACATCGTAAGGTGGCGTTTTTCAAACATATAGACACTTTACTGTGCAGGAATCACTGTAAACTAGGATGTTATCACCATCTGGAACACTAGGAACAACAACTGACAATCTAGTGAGGGCAATACGCTGCCGGACAGAAAAGTTCTTTCTGCAGTCGGCATGTGATCATCAAACAAGAGATGGCAGTATAGTTGAAAGTATGCGTTTTCCGACAAGGCGGATACCTATGGAGAAACTCTACTGGAACTAGCTGACATTGGCAGGGATTAGGCTCAGCACTATAGGTAGTCAGAGCGTACTCGGTCACTTGAAGTAACTGGACACTATCTTGCATCTAGTCTGAAGTGGCGGAACACAGACAGGAGTGACAGGATCATCATCATCCGTGACTGACCCGCTTGGTGTACGCTACTGGAAAATTGCAATGGCCTGTAAGGACTCTTAATTTTGAATTGTGTACTCTCTGCTGGCAGTATGGAAGATTCTCGGATCCAAGCTTTTCCAAGCTGGTAACCCCAATATGGTACGATCAAAGTCATCAATTTGGGCACATGCCATCGATAAGGGTCGAGCACAATGCGTAAGTCTCGCTTGTGAAGCAAACCTAGTAGAAGGTCACCAGGGGAAAAGTAATGCTGGTTCGACAACAAGGAAGGAAAGCAGTGAAGTTCTTACCTTCGGATAGAAATAGTGAGGGATTAGTCCGACCTAGCGGTCACGCAGGTGAGAACCCAGCTACTCCACTAAGGGAGGACACATGAGTCGCGTCTACGACGGCAGGACATGTCGTAATGCTTATCCCTAAACAAACTAGACTGATAATATTGACTTGTCGCACCAGTAGTCCATGATCACAAATGAACAGGCGCTTCCATGAAAATCTGATGCTTGCAATATAGGGGGCCTTGGTTGCATTGGAGTAGTATGTGCAAAACAAAAAGGCTGGATTGTCCATCAGCAATGATTTGTTCCACTTCATCCCCAAAATCATCTACCATCAGAGGGACATGTGAAGCAACATTGCAGCAGGATTGTCTAATTCTAGACAGACTGCTTATGGCGTTCAAAGAAATTGTTTAACGAGGAGATGGTGATACTCATTATAACCTACTGTCACCATGGGACGGTATGACTGGGGGCCGCTCGAATTCCCCGAATTGGAAGAATGTGCCTGGTTTGGTTATTTTGAGAACACACGATGTCTGTTTCCTCTACGGGTTACTGCGGGATGGAACGGGCCCACGGGAATGACAGAGAGTACTGAAGGTTGTAGAGTGTATTGCACTCTGATTGTGTCATGTCCATGTCTTTCTATGCTAAGTACAGTAGGAAAGATCTGTCTGGTACTCATCATTCAGCATGGGACCCTCTTAGGGTGACTTATCAGGACAACTATTGCCAATATGGCCCTCGGAAGCCACAGGTGTAACAGTCCGCTGACTACGGTACTGAATGTATGTTACTTTGTTTACTATGAGGTTTATAATGACTTGTACAATGGGTCGCTTGCGTGATCGCATGAGATGGTTGACGACCCCAATTTGTCGCCTGTGGCCAAAAAGAGGTGGTGCAGTCTGAGGCATAGGTGAGAAATTACTTTACTTTTGATACTTGGGATAAAGTTTCCCTGGGGGAACAAAGGAACGTACAATGATTTAGGGCTGTAAAAGGTGGTTCATCGTCACAGTTGGCGGGATTAGCCTCATAAGAAAACACGGAAGAGCCGGGAATTGTTCATTGATTGCCTCCAAAAAGATGATATTTTAGCAAATGATGCTGTGGTTTGGTTATCCATCATCAGGGACAAAAGCTCGAGGACTGGGACAGCATGAATAATAAATTGATGATAAAAGTTTGTTAATCTAACGCAAATGCACTCAACGATTACATATTTGTCTTGGGTGTAGCATTCAATAGTTCCACTATAAGAACGTCATAATGGTTTTTCAGCTGTTTTTACTAGTATGAGGAAAAGCAACGAATCGTGCCTCATATTGTGACCACTTAGGAAGATTCCTGAAGTCTCGCATATCAAGGGAGATCAACAACAGTAGAACAAGAGCAGGGGAATCGCTGAAGAGCTCTTTCTTTGCAAGTCTATAAGACTTTCCTCTGAAGGAGGACCTTCAACTAGTGCATTAACTAGGAGGAACGAATGGCAGTAAAAACCTTGCTGCAAGGACTATGTACATGGCATTGAATAATGGTAACGCATCAAGGGAATCACTGAGGTTTAAAAAAATGTAGTGTCTAAGGGTATGGGTCGGGGGTTGTCAAGTCAATAAGGAAACTGTGAGGAAATGATGACAGGAGCAGGCAGTAGCATGAGAGATATGAGTGTCGACATTCACTAAAGTTTCACTGGCGGTATGTGAGACATAAATGGCAAAGAAGTTGCACGAGAACAAATAAGGCAAAAAAAATAATGAACAATATAAAAATGGATATAAATGTTTTCTAAAATTAAAATTAAAGAGATGCAACTAATTCTGCAGAAGTAATAAAAAAAATGTCTAAGATACACTTGCAAGAAGAAGGACAAAAATCATGTTAAAGGATGCTGGACAAGATAAAAAAATTACATTTACATTTACAAGTTATAAAAAATATAACTGGAGACTGAATTAAATGCAAATGAGCTCTGTTGTTACTCTTGCTAATAAAGGAATTAAACGAAAATTGTTTTAATTCAATATAATAATGTATAAAATAAAGTCACCTAAATTGTAATGCAAACGAGAGAGGAAAGAGATAACTGGGGGGGAAATTTAAATAATTTTCTAAGTTTGAATAAACAAATTTAAAATATTATACAAAAGACAACATGAGGAAAAAAAAAAAAATAATAAAATGGAAAAAAACAAGACTCAAAAATAATGAATGAAGAATATTAATGTCAAATAAAGAAAATAATTCACTGCCGAACAACGTGCAAAAAAATTTGTGTTTACTGTATATAAAAAAATATAAACTTGAGCATTGGTGTTTTTCTGTATTTTTTTATATTTGTGTAGTGCAAAATAATAGATATAAAACTGCTGTACGTTTTAGATTGTTTGTCATTACATTCCATCATTTGTTTCAGGAACAGATTCTGATGCAATGAAGCTGAATCAAGGGATGCCTCCGTTTATGGTAATGTTGCTCACATATAATGTTACAAGATTTAATTTGATTTGTTTTTTATAAATTTTGTGGGAACATTTGGCACAGTATTGTATTTATCCATTATATTATGCTTCTGTTTAGTATTATCTAGATATAAAGTAAAGTCTAGTCCTATATTTTTCCCTGGAAAACTATTACATTATAGATAAAAAGAAATTTCCATTTATTTTTTTATAGAATTTTTTTTTTTGGCCATTTAGGCATATGCAAATGAAGGTATGATACATTTTAACCATCTCTAAGAGAACTTTATACCTAGTGCCAGCCTCATGCTGAAGATGTGTGTGCCATAATTTGCACCTGGAAAATGCTTGTTACTGGTTCCAAATGTACACACAGAAATAATTCTATATTTAACCCTTAAACGGTCCAAACAGATCGACGTTCAAATTCGTAATGCTACAAAAGTAGATCTACTTTTTTTTACATATTTTCAAATATAACAAAAAAAATGTAGATAAAAGTTTTTTTACACGTTTTCAAATGTAAAACAAAAAAGAAGATCTACATTTTTTTACATACTTTCAGATGTTGAAAAAACATATATATGCGTTTGGACCATTTAAGGGTTAAATGGGAGGCATAGTAGATGATACAAAAGTCTGATAAAGAGCAGGAACTCAATAATTATTACAATAAAAACTAAAGTGCTAAACCTAGAAGGGTCATACAACAATAACTCAATAAGCATAAATGGTACAAGGCTTTTCAGCACCTTTTCAAGTACAGTATTGTATATAACAAATTATCAGTAGACCTGGAACTGATTACAAGACAATGTGACAAGTTTCTACACACTGTTGATCAACCTGCTCTGGTGCCTAAATTGAACTGCCTAGTGGAAGTACAGATAGCCTGGCTGAACAGGCTCTTGGGGCTGTAATCTTCAGAACTCTCTTGTACACAACTAATTAGCTTTCTGTTATTACACTTAAGAAAATTCATTCCTTCATATTTGGTTAAGAACATAATTTCATTTAAACCCTTCATATCTTGTTCTGTATTGGATCTTTCTTAGACATTGAAATCACCTTCAAGTTTAGCAAGATTTTTAAAAGGAATATTTAAAATGGAATGGAGGATGGTCCTCAGTAATGACTGTGCTTTCTTTGTTTCTGATTGGCTGTTATAAGCTTGAAATAAAATACTTTTGTTGCAGGTTTACCATATGCCGGTTATGTATGGTGGTTATGGATATGGGTACAATCAGCAGTGGGCTTATTTGTATCCAGTGATGCCCTCACCTGCCATGGATGATGGCAAGCAAACACCAATTCCGGGTTAGTGTGGAGCTTAAAATGAGTAAAAATTGTTTTATGAATGGTTTTTCAGGATTTTTAAAGTACTTCATTATGATCAATTTTCAAGTTAAATACATTTCATTTTAAATGACGTGTACAATTGTGTCATTAATATTAATGATTTACTGCAGCCTAATAACTGCCATTAATTTTTTTTAATTAGCCATATTAAATCAATTTTGTTGTAAGCTATAATTAAAAAAATTATATATTTATTGAATAACATAAATAGACATTTAGAGAGGATGAAGGAAATAAGGATGACTAAAGGGTATATAAATCTAGGGGGAAGAGGAGGAGGGATAAGGGTCTTCCCAGGAAAGATTGATAAATAAAAGAGGATTTATGTGCTTGGGGCTTAAACATTCATGGAGATCTTCTCTGGAGGTGGGAAGTATACTGCTTGTGCTCTGAAGGAAGGGTAAGGATGTTGTAGTTTGGAGGGCCATTTCAACGGTGATATATTAACACACTTTAAGTAAGTCAGTGATTGATTGAATGGTGGTGAAAGTGTTTCCTTGTTTTTTGAGTCACCATACCTCAGTGGGAGATGGCTAGTGTGTTAAAAAAATAATTGGCAGATATGTATATATCGGAGTACACTTACTAATAAGCTTCATATTATCATAGATATAGGTGGCACTGTACTAGTGTTTTTATGATTATTTTTATTATTGGTTATATGCATTTTTGGCCCTTAGGCATTTTTTCTTAATTATTCAGATCTGATCACACAATACAGTGGTACCTCGAGTTACGAACTTAATTCATTCCGGAAGGCTGTTCAAGTGCTGATACCAAACGAATTTGTTCCCATAAGGAATAATGTAAATTAGATTAGTCCGTTTCAGACCCCCAAAAATACACTTACATAATTGTTCGAGTTGGGAGTTGTTCAAAACTTGAGGTACCACTGTACTAACAATTTTATTCTGTGAGTCATTACATGATCATACAATTATCAATTACAGGGTAATGTAATACAATATATAATGTACTGGGTGTATATAGGTACACTTGTATTGAGTAATAACATTTTGGAAAATATTTGTGTAGCATTGAAGACAAAAATAAACGTTTACCATGTATAATCTGAGTTAAAAAATGAGGGAAAATATAATAATGATACTAACCATACCACGGGTGGGATTTGAACCCGCGGTCAGAGAGTCTCAAAAACTCCAGACTGCTGGGCCAGCTTAATAAAAAAATAAAACAATGCAGTAATAATGATACTGTATTGTTTTATTTTTTAAGAGTCACAATGTATCATTTCAGGTCATAACATGCAACCGTAACCATTCTTTGAGGACACTAATATTTAGGAGTGAACTAAAATAATGATGTCTATATCAGTGGGTTTAGTTAATATTGATATCTACTGGTATTGACCTGAAATTGAGTATCTGTGGGTATTGGCTAATTTTGATAGTATTGGCTAATTATGTTGATATCAGTATCGACATCATCCTAAAATTGAGTTTTTTGTGTCATCCATCACTATTTTTTAGTACAGTAGTTATAGTGGGATTGATATGACAATTGTTGATTCTTGAAAAGCATAATAACTCAAGATAGGGTTCAAACATATGACAGCCAGTCATGAAACTAGTAGGAGAGTACTCTAACCATAGATTGTGAAGGCTTAATAAAATTCATCCAACAAGGCACATGTCTAGAGAAGTTAACATGGGATCCACTGCAACCACACATTACATTGTATATGGGCAAGCATCACTAATAGCATACTGAAGCAGACTTATACAAAAAAAAAAATTATTGAGTTGTCTAGGCTATTACTACCACTTGTAAGATGTTTTGTACTTTAGGTCCCTTCATTTGCGTAGTTTCTACCAAATGATTATTATTATTATAATCAAAAGGAAGTGTTAAACTTTTCTGCCAGATGAGCTGTATTCAAGGCACATGAAAGAATTGTATGATGTATTTTTCTTTTCATGTCTTTGGGGACTATTGCAGTTTTCTAGGCATGTCTTTGGCTATTAATTAAAATTTCTCTTTTTGTCTTGTAGAAGAAGTGATCACAAGACTATGAAGACAGAGACTTATTCATTTGGTAGTCTTAACCCTTTGACTGTTTCAGTTGTATATATACATCATACGAGATACCGTGTTTGATGTATCTATATGCATAAATTCTAGCAGCTTCAAATCAAGCGGGAGAGGGCTGATAGGCCTACATGAGAGAGAATGGGTCTGAGTGGTGGGTGTGCACCCTGTGAAAAAAATCTGGGACTCAGTAGTGCATTGTGGGAATGCCATCTTGGTAGTCCATTTTCACCATGCCTCGCGGTAAGAAGTTCCTCACTCCTCGGCGGATTGGAGGTCTTTTGTTCCCAAGTGATAGCTCTAACAGTGATGAATGTGTCAGTGAAAGTGAATTCCCTGGTTTTCAAGCAGGTATGACTGAAAAGAGTGCCCAGGATAACGTAATTAGTGATGAAAACCCAGATGACCCACAACCTTCCACCTCTGGTGCTGGGACGGCTCGTTCATGTTTACCTGTACCAGGACGAAAGAGGAAACTATTTGCCCGTGTACAAGACTCAGATGTGAGCAGTGTAAGTGATAGTGGTAGTGATTTCAAAGTTATTGAAAGCAGTTCTAGTTGCAACAGTGAGGGTGAATATTCCCCAGTGAAGCGGCAGTATATACGATGTCGCTTGCGGTCTGGTAGTGTGCCATATGCTATTCCAAGAGGAAGGAGTAAATCTTAGAGCACATCCCGTGGCCCTACACCACGACCTGATAGTGAAGATGACGATATTGTTACGATGGGTATGAATGATGCGAGTGAGGCAGCAGGCGATGGTGGTGATAGTGATAGGGGAATGAGTCATGTGGCGCCACCAGCGGGCCACGCTACTACCGACGCTGCTGACTCTGCACAACTGCAACCAGCCTCACCCAACCTCACACTCCCACAACAACCACAACCACGTTTCAATATCCAGAACCCACCAACTGACCGCATCTGGGATTGGCAGCAAGGTGACGAGTTTGTTCCCAGTCCCCATGACTTTGATGAAACACAAAGTGAAATATGGCCATCATGTCCACTTGGGAACAATGCCACTGAACTGGAATGCTTTCAGTTGTTCTTCGATGAACCCCTGATGGACATCATTGTTAGGGAAAGCAATACATACTTTGAGTACACCATGGCAAACACTTTTCTTTCACCAAGATTACGCCTACACCAGTGGAAGGACACAACTGTGGCAGAGATGTATCTGTTCTTTGCCACAATAATGCTTATGCCACATGTGTATAAGCACAGTGTCAACACATACTGGGCGACAGACCACCTGATTTCAACCCCAGCTTTCAGTGACATTATACCAGTAAATAGATTTGTGTTACTGTTACATATGTTACACTTTTCAGACAAAACAAGGCCTGACAGAAGTGACAGGTTATATAAGATCAGAAATGTGTTTATGTACCTGAAACAAAAGTGCTGTATGTATTTTTATCCCTTTAGGAAGCTTGTTGTTGATGAGTCTTTGATTTTGTTCAAAGGAAGACTCATTCAAGCAGTACATACCAAGTAAGAGGAAATGCTTTGGTATAAACTTATTTGTTCTGTGTGATTGCAAAACTGGTCTGGTTTTGGATATAACTGTGTACACTGGCAGTAAAACATTGCAAGATACCAGGAAGTTACTGGGCATCTCTGGTTATGTGGTTAGAACAATGATAGAAACATATCTTCGTAAGGGGCATATTTTATATACTGACAACTGGTACACAAGCCCTTTACTCAGTGATTTCTTGCAAGTGAACATGACAGATGTGTGTGGCACAGTGCGTGGAAATCGTAAGCATATGCCTAGGTTTGACACTAGCAGTCATAGAGGTGAGGTGCAGGTGTTTGCTGCCAATGACATCATGGCATTTCGGTGGCATGACAAATGTGATGTCACACTGTTGACATCAGTTCACCGACACAAAATGGTAGACACTGGCAAGCAGAATAGAGAGACCAATGAACCCAGTGTAAAACCTGTAGCTGTGATGGATTACAACCTCAATATGCACTTAGTGGACAAATGTGACAGGCAGATTGGGTTTGCTGACTGTTTTCGCAAGAGTTATAAGTGGTACATAAAACTCTTTTTCCATCTTCTTTACATTTCCATGCTGAATGCTTATAATATGTATAAGTTGAAGACCAACAACAAAACCAAATACGGTGAATTTTGTTTGTCAGTCATCAGACAATTAATATTCAAGTGCCAAGAAACAACACTTGCAATAGACCAGCGCCCACGAAATTATCAACACATGTCCTCTCGTCTGAGGCCTGGTGATCATTGCCAGATACCACTGCCTGCTACTGCTCTCAGGAAAAATGCTCAGAAGAGGTGTTTTGTCTGTGGACATACCACAAAACGCCCACAAAAACGCAGAGACACTCGTTTTATGTGTGAAGAGTGTGAAACACCATTGTGCTTATACCCATGTTTCAAAGAATTCCACAAGCTGCAGCAGCTCTAGAAGTGTCCAGTGATTGTACATATGTATATATATTATAGAACAATAAACATAATAAACAATTTTTTATATTGTTTGTGTAAACAATTTTTTATATTGTTTGTGTAAACAAGTTTTAGGAACATTATGATGATACTAGTGTTTTTGCTATAATTGTTACATTCAACGAGTGTATATATGAACATTGCACCATACTTTGGTCTCACAGTCCACAAAAGTTATGTGAAAAAATAAAATAGTGAAAAAAAAACAAGAAACCTTCGAATACAAGTAAACCAAAGTTTACCGGGTGAGCGGCAGTCGCCGCTGTTGCCATTTGGAGCTCATTTTCTGCAAACTTCACGCTTCTATATCTCGGTAAGTACTGATGGGAGAATTTTTTTTTTTTTGACTAAAACAATCAGAAAAATAATCTTAACATTTCCATAAGAATTTTTTTTTTTTTTTTTTTTTTTTTTTTTTCAAATATTTTGCGACACCAGGAGACACTTCAGGATTGGGCCTTTCAACAGTCAAAGGGTTAAGGAGTAGTTAAAAGTGATAGTTATAGTTATGATTATTAATTTTTTGCTGTTTATTATTATTTTCTTGTAGCTCGGTTGGCAGCACACACTAATCTCATACCAACTGTCTGTAGTTTGACACCCGGCATGGGTGGAAACGTTGAGTATGTTTACACCTGCCAGTGTTCACCTAGCAGAAAGTAGGTACCTGGGTGTTAGTCTGTTATCACAGGTCACATCCTTGGTGGTGGTAGTATACCTTAGATAGGGCTAGGCTTTGACATGAGCTACAGTAGGACAACAGCTCTTAGCCTGTAAAATTGATTTATGTAAAAAAAAAAAAATCTATAATTATATAATCACTATTTTTATAGGTGGTGAATTATACCCTCAAATGGTATCTGTTGGAGGTTGGGGTCAAGGTTATATGGGGGACTTTGTACCCCCCCAGTCCATGCCTGGTCCACCTCACCACAATTTCCCACCACTCCTGCGTGAACCTGGCCCACTACCATATCCCCCTCTACCTTATGTAAGTAAAAATTTTAAAAAATCCGGCAGTGATGGAAATAAAAATAGAAATCTTTACAATTATCACTATTAGTAATGAGCAAGATGTCTTACTGTGTTAGCATTTAGTCCTTACTGTGTTATCCTTGGTAAACAATAGTTTTATGATTAATTAAATGGCATTACTGTTTTCTTTCCTTTTGCAACATTTTTCAGTTTTCCTGCTGGGAATGTATTTTAAGAGTTTTATTTAGGACTGGTGAAATGGTTGATCTAAAAAAAAAAAAAAAAAAAGATTAGTGTACATTTACTGCCAAATCCATTCAAATGTCTAAACATTTAGGAGTGCATCAAAGCCCACATTTTGTACTTTCTGGAGTGTAGAAATTAAATGTATATCATTAAACTATAAATATAATAAAAATTGCATTAACAAGAATGGTATAAATTCAAACAATTTTTTTTTTTTTATGCTCACCAGCCATCTCCCACTAATAATATATTTACAGATAGGACTGTTAAAAAGTGAATGCTAGAGTGTTTGGGGTGTGGGCTTCAATGTAAAGTGGGAGGTGTCACAGCTGCTCTTTGCTAATAACACAGTGCTTGCTGGAGATTCCCTAGAAAAGTTACAAGATTAGAGTAGAAGTTTGGAAAGGTGTGCAAAAAAAGGAAGCTGAAAGTGAACATAGGTGATGAGATTAAGAAAAATCTAGGCAACAAGAGGGTGGACATCAGATTAGGAGGGAGCATGGAGGAAATTAATGTACTGTATTTATATAAATGTGAGTGGATATGTTGGAAAATGAATGTATGAGAGATGAGGGGGTGGGGGGGGAAGGCACTGCAGTTGGAGTGTTGTGATGTCTGTCGAAAGATTTTATCAGTGGAGGAAAAATGGGAAATTTATTTATGATTAGAAGTACCAACACTTTTATATGGGTGTGAGCTTTGGTCTTTGAATGTTGTAGCAAGAAGAAAGAGACAGTAGTGCAGATGTCATGTTTGAGATCAGTGTGTTTTTGTGAACACTATGCTGAGAATAAGAAACAAAATTAGAATACAATGTAATGATATAAAAGGTGTACTGTACTCTACAGTGTCAAAGATACTATTTTTTCACCAAAATTAGTTTTGAAAATTTACCCATCATCTTGGAGGCTGAAGGTTATGTTGTTCATAGGCCTCAGCCTATGCCTAGAGAAGTGTTTCGATACTAGACAGTAATCTAAGCTCCTGTATATAACCAGATAATGAATCGTGTAAACTATTTTGTATAAAATATTGAATAAATAACAAAGATAATCATTAATAATCGTAAAAATTCATTATGCTTAGCATCAGTAAGCTAAGGTAAACCAGGTGATGCAGTCTGATAATCTGTGGGTAGTATCAGTAGGCTAATTCGCCTGTTTACTATCAAAGCCCTTGTTAAAAATATTTTTACTCACCTCAAATAATCCTGATATTAACCCTTTCGAGTTTCATTCCATAGTAGTCAACAGAGCAAGATCCAGTATCAGTGAGATAAAACGCTCAGTGTCCCAATTCACTGCCCTGGCACCTCTGCTGTTTCTCATGCTCATAGCAGACATAGATAAAAACACCCATCCCACTTTTGTATCATCATTTGCGGAAGACACTAAAATAAGCATGAAAGTCACCACAGTAGAGGACACTGAAAAATTACAGGAAGACATAAGCAGGGTTTTCCCGTGGGAAGTGGAGAGCAACATGACATTCAATGATGGTAAGTTCCAGCTGCTTATGTATGGAAAGAATGAAGAACTCAAAAGGAACACTATATACAAAACTCAAGAACAAAACTCAAGAGGGTTACCAAATAGAACAAAAGGAACATGTAAAAGACCTGGGAATAATTATGTCAGCTGACCTTTCTTTTAAAGACCATAACAAGACAAAGATCATGACAACCAGGAAGATTACAGGGTGGGGTATTGAGAACTTTAAAATAAGGGAAATAATGCCAATGGTAACACACTTCAAATCGCTAGTGCTCCTTCATTTATAATATTGCTGTGCTGATGGCCCGTTCAAAGCAGGAGAAATATCAGAGCTGGAACAAATACAGAGATCGTTTATGGCTCACATTGAGCCAGTAAAGCACCTAAATTACTGGGAATGCCTTCAAGTCTTCAACATGTACTCATTGGAGTTGAGCAGAGAGAGAGATACATAATGTATATCTGGAAAGCACTCGAGGGCCTGGTCCCAAATCTGCACACTGCCATAACATTCTGGAGTGTAAGATACAGGAGGAAGTGTAAAATAAACTCAGTGAGGAGCAGGGGTGTGGTGGGGACAATAAAGGAATATTCCTACGCAAAACCCAAGCTAAGAACTACCTGTAGAATTGGACTACTACTGAAAGTAGATTCGTATACTGACGATGAACAGGAAATGAGTGAAATCCTAAAAGAACAGTGTGAGTCGGTGTTCAGCAACCCACTACATGACAGCAAGGTAGAAAATGCAGAAATATCTTTCTCTCCAGAAGAAGGCCACACAGACCAACTAACTGACATTAGTACAAATCCCATAGTTTTCAAAAAAGAAATGGAAAACATGCCCACTCACTCAGCACCTGGACCAGATTCATGGAATGCTCTATTTATAAAGAAATGCAAAGTACCGCTAGCACGAGCCCTCAGTATTCTTTGGAGAAAGAGCTTAGATCTAGGTGAAATACCGGAGGCCTTAAAGAGTGCAGACATAGCATAAGGGAGGTAGTAGAGCACTAGCTAAAAATTTCAGACCAATAGCCCTAACTTCTCACATCATAAAAATTTTTGAAAGAGTGATGAGATGGCAGATTACAAATTTCATGAACCTGCATAACCCGAACCAGCATGGTTTTTGAGCAGGACGATCATGCCTGTTACAGCTACTGAACCATTATGACAGAATTACAGAGGCATTGGAAGACGACCAAAACACAAATGTGATTTACACAGATTTTGCAAAGGCATTTGACAAATGCGATCATGGAGTGATAGCACACAAAATGAGGTCCATGGGCATTAAGGGGAAGGTAGGCAGATGGATTTTCGGGTTCCTAACACACAGAACACAAAAAGTTGTAGTGAACAGGGCAAGATCCGACAAGGTCAAAAACTCATTTCCCCAAGGCACTGTCCTGGCACCTCTGCTGTTTCTCATCCTCATAGCAGACATAGACAAAAACACCCGGCACATTTTTGTATCATCATTTGCAGATGACACGGTAGGGGACACTGAAAAAGTACAGGAAGACATAAATAGGGTTTTCCAGTGGGCATTGGAGAACAACATGACGTTCATTGGTGATAAGTTCCAGCTGCTTAGGTATGGAAAGAATGAAAAACTCAAAAGGAACACTATATACAAAACTCAAGAGGGTCACCAAATATAATGTAAGGAACAAGTAAAAGACCTGGGAATAATTGTGTCAGCTGACCTTTCTTTTAAAGACCATAACAAGACAAAGATCACAACAGCCAGGAAGATGACGGGGTGGGTATTGAGAACTTTTAAAACAAGGGAAAGAATGCCGATGGTGACACTCTTCAAATTGCTAGTGCTTCCTCGCCTAGAATATTGCTCAGTGCTGATGGCCCCGTTCAAAGCAGGAGAAATATCGGAGCTGGAACAAATACAGAGATCGTTTATGGCTCACATTGAGCCAGTAAAGCACCTAAATTACTGGGAATGCCTTCAAGTCTTCAACATGTACTCATTGGAGTTGAGGAGAGAGAGATACATAATGTATACCTGGAAAGTACTCGAGGGCCTGGTCCCAAATTTGCACACTGCCATAACAACATACTGGATTGAGAGATATGGGAGGAAGTGTAAAATAAACCCAGTGAGGAGCAGGGGTGAGGTGGGGACAATAAGGGACCACTGTATCAACATCTGGGGTCCCAGACTATTCAACATCTTACCAGAAGATATCAGAAACATGGCTGGAACAATTGTAGAAGCCTTCAAGAGGAAACTGGACAAGTAGTATCTTCACCAGGTGCCAGATCAACTAGGCTGTGATGGATATGTGGGGCAGCGGGCCTCCGGCAGCAGCAGCCTGGTTGACCAGGCAAACACAAGACTAGCCTGGCCCATGGTCGGGCTCAGAGAGTAGATTAACTCTCGAAACTCTTCAGAGGTATATCAAAGGTATATCTGTATCTACATCCGGAGTCCCAGACTATTCAACATCTTACCAGAAGATATCAGAAACATGGCTGGAACAAGTGTAGAAGCCTTCAAGAGGAAACTGGACAGGTAGTATCTTCACCAGGTGCCAGATCAACCAGGCTGTGCTGGATATGTGGGGCAGCAGGTCTCTAGCAGCAACAGCCTGGTTGATCAGGCAAGCACCAGACAAGCCTGTCCCATGGCTGGGCTCTGAGAGTAGTGAAACTCTCGAAACTCTTCAAAGGTATAGTACTATGGCTTTGAACTCGGTCTGTGCCGTACTTCTTCGTGAGGAGCTCAGCTCACTCAGATAAGCTGTGAGTAGTAAATTATGGCCTAGATATGAGAGAATGGGTCTGTGTGGTGAGTGCAGCATATAAAAAAATCCTTCCCCACACAGTGCATGATAGAAAAAACTGTGATCATGTGTATGGTTTAAAATAGCAGTCTTGCAATATATTTTTGGATGGTTTTTATGGGTTTATTTTCAGTTTCTTTGGTATCATTTGATAGAATGGAAGATATATTACAGTAATAGAGATGATTTTGATTAGTTTAAGAACTGGAAGTAGCTTGAAATTGAGCTCAAAGTAACAGTAATATTGGATTATTGTCAGTATTCTAGAGGACACTGATCAACTGGCTGGTCTGATATGTGTTCACTACTGTGCTAACATTATTTATACACTTACTCTTACAGTAATGCAGTTGCCTGCATAACAGTAAATCTACTACTTATTAAATAGTAAAGTCAGTAAATTTAAAAACTTTCTTTCAACACACTGGCTGTATCCCACCGAGGCAGGGTGGCCCAAGAGGAAAAACGAA